GAAAGAAGTTCCTCCTCACGTTTAGGTGGAACTTCTTATACTCAAGTTTGTGCCCATTTCCTCTTGTCCTGTCCCTGGGCACCACTGAGAAAAGACCAGCCCCTTCCTCTTGACACCCACCCTTTAAGTATTTATAAGCATTGATCAGATCCCCCCTCAGCCTTCTCTTCTCCAGACTAAAAAGACCCAAGTCCCTCAGCCTCTCCTCAGAAGGGAGATGCTCCAGGCCCCTCATCATCTTTGTAGCCCTCTGCTGTCCCCTCTCCAGCAGTTCCCTGTCCTTCTGGAACTGGGGGGAGAGCAGTTTAGCTGATGTGATCCACATCTCTCTGAATATTTTTGTCCCCAGTACAGCCAGCATCTCATCCAGCCCCATGTTTTTTTTCCTGAGGCAGTTTGGAAAGCCATCCCTCGTGGACTCCCTTTGGCAGATGGAGCTTCAGAGAAAGGTTGCGGTGCTTCATTATATTAAGCAGGATAGTTTCATAAGGAGGAGAGGATGTGATTTTGCAGCTAGCAGCTGCTGGCTCATAGCCAAGAGAGATGGGTGTTTGTCACCCACTGGAGCTAATTGTGCCCATCGCGAACGTTAATGTCGTCAGCAGAACAGATATTCTGCATTTGACGTGTTTTCCCAGTCTGGCTGGGATGACAAATGAAACCCCCATACATGAATATTTCAAACTCTCCTGAATAACCTGGTATCGTGCAGAGAAAGTGGGGGGCGTTGGTCAGAGACCAGCTTCCCCAGCATTGCAGTCACATCCCATACTGGGCTCCTGGGGCTGACACAGGCACCTCTGGAACCTCCTGGGGGTCAGTCCCCAGCTCTGTTCCTCAGCTCCTTTGCCTGAAAGTGGGAATGGTCGTACTGCATCTCACCACCCCTGCCAGATTCTGGTTGAAATACTCCGCTGCTGCCACAACCTGCATTTCTCTCCTGCCTGAAGTCTGGGAGAGACCCAGCTCTTACACAGGTTGTGAGTTCACAGCATCAGTACCTTTTCCAGCGTTGTAGGAGGATGATGAGGGGCCTGGAGCATCTCCCTTATGGGGAAAGGCTGAGGGACTTGGGTCTTTTTAGTCTGGAGAAGAGAAGGCTGAGGGGGGATCTGATCAATGCTTATAAATACTTAAAGGGAGGGTGTCAGGAGGACGGGGCTAGACTTTTTTCAGTGGTGCCCAGGGACAGGACAAGAGGAAATGGGCACAAACTTGAGTATCCTAAACTTGAACATCCTAAATGTGAGGAGGAACTTCTTTCCTGTGAGGGTGGCAGAGCCCTGGAAGAGGGTGCCCAGGGAGGTGGTGGAGTCTCCTTCTCTGGAGACATTCAAAACCCACCTGGACACGTTCCTGTGCAACCTGCTCTGGGTGGACCTGCTCTGGGCAGGGGGTTGGAATAGATGCTCTCCAGAGCTCCCTTCCAACCCCATGTGATTCTGTGAGTCCTCAGGGCTGCTTTCAGAAAAGGCCATTTATGGTAGCACCACCTGCCCACCTCCGCAGCGTGGTATCGATCATCTCACAGTCCCAGCACACTGTGCATAGCTGGCATTGTGCTTGTACAGTCATGGCTTGGGTGTTATTTTTCAGCTCCTGCTATAACCAAGTGTTTTTTCAATGATTTCACACACTTTTTTTTTAATTTATTTTTTTAAATAACCATATTATTCGGTCTTCCAATGTATTAGCAAGAATGTGGAGCTTCTTGTAATATTTTTAATAGTCATCGTCTTCATCGCTGTGTCTGGCTTAAGTGTGACGAATCCTTCGCATTTATTTGTTTATTTATACATATACAAAATATCTTTATATATTTAACGTAGTGCTCTCTGGGGCTTGGTTGTGTGGTTTTTGACTTGTGTCTTCTTCTAACATCTGTTGTTGCTTTAAGGTCTTCTGGGAATTACTGGTGATACCTATTCCTGAGGCTGGTTAAAATAGTCCTGCTCTCAGAGCGAAGGTGTGGGAGCACACCCTGCACCTCCTCCTCCTCCTCCTCTGCTGCTGAAATCACTTTTCTCCTCTGGAATGTGCTCAGAGAATGATAAAGCGGCCGTGTGTTTGGGGCTGCATTCTTCCTTCCCCCTGGGTGAATTTTCGTAGATAAAGGGACCCTTCTTTTGCCTCTGCCTTGGGGGGACCCAAACGCATGACTCACGGGGCGACGAGCACAGTGCTTCTTCAGGGGCCTCAAAACTTCTCTTTCACTTCAGTTTATCATCCCTGTGCTTGATGGTAAAACTGAAGTGCCTCTGTCTGTGTCTGACCTTGCTACAGCACATGTTGGTTATTTCAGGAGAAAAATGCAGCTTTTTTGTGGTGAAGACCCGCCCAAGTCACTTAAACCTGCACTCCTGGAGAATGCAAAAATTCATATACACTGCTCTCTTCCTTTTTTGCAACACTTTGGGTTCCTGCCCAAGAAGACCACACAAATGAGGAAGGACAGGTGAAATACTAAGGCTTGGAGATTCTAATAAATACAGCATTAAGCACTTTAACCCAGGAAGTTTGTACACAGTGAAGTTTGCAGATGACACCAAACTAGGTGGGAGTGTTGATCTGCTTGAGGGTAGGAAGGCTCTACAGAGGGATCTGGACAGGTTGGATCGATGGGCCAAGGCCAATGAGATGAGGTTCAATAAGGCCAAGTGCCAGGTCCTGCATTTTGGTCACAACAACCCCAGGCAACGCTACAGGCTGGGGGCAGAGTGGCTGGAAAGCTGCCCAGCAGAAAAAGACCTGCGGTTTGGTGGACAGATGGCTGAACATGAGCCAGCAGTGTGCCCAGGTGGCCAAGAAGGCCAACAGTATCCTGGCTGTGTCAGGAACAGCGTGGCCAGCAGGAGCAGGGCAGTGATGGTGCCTCTGTACTGGGCAATGGTGAGGCCTCACCTCGAGGGCTGTGTTCAGTTCTGGGCCCCTCACTACAGGAAGGACATTGAGGTGCTGGAGCGTGTCCAGAGGAGAGCCACCAAGCTGGTGAGGGGTCTGGAGAACAAGTCATAGGAGGAGAGGCTGAGGGAACTGGGCATGTTTAGTTTGGAGAAGAGGAGGCTGAGGGGAGACCTCATTGCCCTCTACAACTCCCTGAAAGGAGGTTGTGGAGAGGTGGGTGTTGGCCTCTTCTCCCAAGGGAATAATGACAGGAGCAGAGGAAAGGGTCTGAAGTTGGGGCAGGGGAGGTTTAGATTAGATATCAGGAAGAATGACTTTCCTGAGAGGGTGGTCAGGCCCTGGAACAGCCTGCCCAGGGCGGTGGTGGAGTCACCATCCCTGGAGGTATTTTAGAAACCTGCAGATGTGGCTCTTCAGGGCATGCTCCAGTGCCTGAGATTGTAGGGGGGTTTTTTGTGTGTATATGGTTGGACTCGATGATCTCAAAGGTCCTTTCCAACCATGACGATTCTGTGATTACCTGTGAGAACTCAAGGTTGTTTTCCGTCGTGGCTCCAACTTCTACTAGCTCAATAAGGAAAAACATGAATCCGTCTTATCTCCACTAACAGATCAATTTGCTTTCTCTCCTCCAGGACTGCCTTAAAGCTTGTCAAGAACAGATCGAGGCGGTGCTAGTGAACAGCCTTAGGCAAGTCCGGCGGCAGCAACAGCAAAGCAATCCTTCTAAGACGGTGGACGAACTGGACCAGGCCAGCACTCCCACAGACGTGAGAGATATCGACCTGTGAGGACATCGGCACAGAAAGTCACGCTTGCTCCCCCAGCCCTTTTATTTTTATTACTATTTTTAGAGTGAAATCTTTTTTTTTTTTTTTTTTTTCTTTCCACGATTGTGGAGCTGTATATGCACCTCTTTTTTGGGAAAAAAAAAAAAAAAAAGCATTTGGTGCCTGTGATGTTCTACAGAAGGGAATCCCACAATATATTTGGTAATTGCTATTTGATTATGTATCAGTGATATTAAATGCTTATAAAAGCATACAAAGTAGCTAGATAAATGTAAGCCTGCATTTGTGGGAACAAAGTAGAGTATACTTGTCTGTGTATTATGACCTAGTGCATACACCCCTTTTTTAGATTTAAGAAAGGAATCGTGTGTGCGATTTTATGGCTTGACTAGATTGCAAAGCAATAGAATAAGGGGTTTAGGGCAAAGCGGGAAAAGATCCCTGAAGCAATTGAACCATTTTGAATGCAGAAGAGATTTGCTGATCTGTCACCTCTGTTATTAGTCAGAAGTGTTTGTTGGATCTCTGTATGTTAGTTTTGTTTACTCTTGCTGTCTGTGGTAGCTGCTACCTAAGAAAGAAGATGCTTTATTTTGCCAGCCAGAAGAGCAGGTGGTTTTGGGGTTTTTTTTATTGGGTTTATTTTTGTTTTGGTTTTGGTTGGTTTT